GCCTATTAAAATCAGAAATTTTCTAAAGGACTAAAGGTGAAATAAATAATTAGAGGAATATCTAATGTTGAAAGCAGAAGCATTTGTAACTATGATAATGTTTTAATTAGAACAAAATTCTGAGTTGGATTTTTGCTTGGTGTGTAACATAGATGTCTTTTTTAAGTCCTAGGGTTGATGATATTTTCTTTATGTAGCTTTCCCACGCCCATAATGTGAAATAAACCAGCACTTGGATCTCTGCTTCCTCCTATCTAGCAGGAAACCAGGGTTTCCCCCCCACACACACACACAGGAACTCTGGTGTTATTCAGTGGATTCCACCCTGCAGTGCAGGAAAGCCCCTATAGGAGAGGTGGAATTTTATGGCTCTAGGACTGTAATTCTGGAGATTTGTGAGTACATCAGAGAGACTGGCTTTCATATGCACCGCTTAGTCTTAGTGTTCAGAACAAAGTCGGAGAAAGAACTGAGAAGTATCTGAGGACATAAAGGGAAGATCAGTGGAATGTTTTCATAATGGTGACATTCCTTCTCCGACCTGTTCTTTCCCTCTCTTTTTTTATTGTGTGCATCATGTTCTGAATGAAAAAGGCTCACTAGGGTGCTTAGTTTATTTATTGGCAGATACTTACTGTCAGCTTTCTAGTACAAAGAGCCATCACGGCCTGATGCAATCATACACTTGGGCAATGGAAAACTGCCAAGCACAACACTCTAAAACTTCGTAGCTTTCATTGCTAATCAGGTCCCCGAAAGCCCATGAAATAAGGTGAGGGAAGAAAATATTTCCGCAGCTTTTCTAAGCTGCCTGACTCTGTACACAAATGCTGCAGTCTGTATAACTGGGCTGCCTTTAGCGTTGCTTATTTTTTCCTCCTTGGAACCTCTTCTGTGATAAATAGCGAGGCTACTGCTCAGCGTGCCCTAACACCTGGGAATAATCATGCAAAAATAACAGTGAGGAACTGCAGAGCGTCTGTTCTTGACATTAACTTTCCTCAGCTTGACAAACTGCCATCAACAGATGTTAGACTTGTATGCCTTCCTCCTCCCTCCACCATCCCCCACTGGAGATGACTGTCTTCCTGCTTCTTCCTTTTTTGCTTATAATAGGTTGCCTCTTTGTCCTTTTGAGGGCTTTCCCTGCAAATCTATCTGAGAGCAGCAGCCTAATTCTGCTAATATGGTGTTGTTTGAAACTGGGATGCAATTTTAAGCTGGCTACACTTTTATAGTAATTGAAAAGAATTAGTCACTTGTTGGCAACCTATTCTGAACCATGGTGCAGGATTTGGAAGCCAATTGATTGGTTTTATGATTGGTTTTATTGTATTTATAATTGTATTTGGAATTTTATGTGAGCTGCCCTGAGCCTGCCTCAGTGGGGAGGGTGAGGTATAAATTGAATAATCAATTAATTAATAATAAATTCAGATACTCAGACATACCAGAGTAACCAGTCCCTTTGGGAATTCTGTTCCTTCAGGACTGTAAGTACAAGCTGACATGTTCAAATGCTCCCCCCCCCCTTGGTATTTAAATAAATAAATAATCCTTGACATGGTAGCTTTTTATGGTCAAGAAGATGTTTCAGCTTTTTTTAACACCAGAAAGCACTCAAACATTAATCATACCACTACTATGTGCTGCAGCTGAATATTTGAATCAACTTGATATATTAAGAACCTACTGAGATGCATTTCCTCCTTTGCAGTGAGTCTTTCTTCTTTTCCTTGGATTAATAATTTTTCAGAACTAAAAGGTATCCTATGGTTCAATCCAACCTTTTGCACTAATGAAAGGCACCTGCATACATACATACAGCATGTTAGCCCATGTTATCTCAGTTTGTACGCAGGATATCCTAAACAGAGGAAGTACAAAGGGCACTGTGCCAGTGATACCCATAGTAGTCAGCGACCCATTGGACCCAGATCAAAAATTCCTTCAGTTTTGTGGCGCAATAGAACAAAGTGTAAAAGAATGAGACCATACATTTGTGTACTAAGTAACTAAATATATCACACATTCCTTTGACCCTGACTAAAAGGTGATCAAAAGGCTGCAGTCCTGGAGCACATATGCATACCCTAAGATGTGATGTATTTGTGTGTGTGTGTGAGGAGTTCTATCAAAATCAGCAAAACGAAGTGATTCATCTCCCCCCTCCATTCCTTCTCTGATTCTTGTTTGATGCAGCCATTATTGACAGAGATGATCACAACTGAGATGAGGGATCCTTTGAGTGCATAACTTCAAGGTGCTGAATGCAGATTCTCCTCTCCCACATACAGCCTTCTGATGTGGCTGGTTCCATTCTCATTCGAAACTTACAGAAGCTCAACATTGGGCACATTTCTACTCATGTTATTGTTCTGGAAAACATTATTTTTTTCCCTAGTGCAAGGGCAGCAATCAACTGATCTGTTATGCTCTTTTTATTTTTGCCATTCCAATGAGTGAGATAAGTTACATTAGAATTCTCAGTGTTCTTAAGTCATGTCAATGTCTTTGGTATTCAAGCACTGCAGCAACACAGAACTTTCACATAGAACAAGTATTGTTTCAATTTTGAAGAACAAAATGTATTGTACTTAGGAAACCATCTTGCTGGAGTGATTTTTCAGTTCCAGCAATTACATCCATTACCTTTTCTTTTTTGGAACAGGGCAGAGCTTTGTCAACTCAAAATATTATCACACTTTTATCTTGCTCTTCTGCCGAAAGGCTTGTAATGGGGTATATGGTTCCTCCCTCTCCCATTTTATCCTCACAACATCCCTGTTTGGATTTTAGTCAGTTTTAATCTCACTTAGAGCATTATAAGAACATTTCAGATGATTAGAGCATTATAAGAACATTTCAGATGATTTTATGGCATTGCACAAAAGGCAGTAGATTCGGGCTGTGTTGTTGTAGTCCACATTGGGTAAAATGTTGAGGGAAAGAACAGGAAAAACTTTGTTGTCATTAATCTGGAAGGTTTTTTTTTTTTTTTTTAAACAAGCTTAAGGGCCTCTGTTATAAGAAATCTCTGCAATGGCTAAAACTTGTGCAATCTAAACTCTGGCCTGGTGTCTTGAATGTAGTACAAAGATAAATATTGTTTTATTTCAACCTTGCTTAGCTGACAACTAGTTTGCAAGGAACATCTGTTTTTGAGGACCGTTGGTTTTTCATTGGCTTGTGTGCTTGGCTTCTTGTTAAAAAACCTTCTTTCTTTTAATGCTGCCAGTATTTTATAGCTTGATGGCAGGAGGATAAACACAGAACAGAAGTACAGAGCTTCTATACTCAGACATGCTTTTTCAAGTTTTTATCAGGTAGTCACCACTGAAATCAGAAGAGTTCAGTAGTGCCGAGCCTGGAAGCTCAAAAATGCCATTTTCACTTGCCCCCACCAGATTAAGTCTGTTGTTTAGGATATGTATGTCATTCTATATTTAAATAAGGATTGCAGGTGGGACTCTCACTGCATGTGTCTCTATACTGCATTTATTTACATAAGGCTGTTTTGTACCATCGTCTTTAGATTTTATTTCAACATGCATACTTCTATCTCTGTTCAGTGACTGGTTTAGAATAAAGGGGGGAGGGGAGGTTCCTCAATTCATCCAGAGTCTAGCCACAACTCCTTATTTCCATTCCTCACCTTTTCATGCTTCTTTCCACCATGGTACTTTGGATAGAGCATGTGTGAGTAAACAAGAGGAGAAAAGCTCTGAATATGTTAGTATGCTCTGGCTTCTTTTGCAAGCTGGTTTTTGACTGAGAAAAAGAGGTATCCAGGTAAAGCATCCTCTTTCTTGCATGGCTGGGCCCTTTCTTATTTTTCCAAAATCCTTCCTGGTGACAAAAGGTATGGGGGAGAGGGAGATAAACTGGGATACGCAAGGAACAGCACTCTCTCCCCATTTGTTTGTTCACCTTTCCTGCCAAAGAGTTTCATGAAGCTCAGAAGGAAGGGAAGAAGAGAGCTTCGGCTACTATAGCCCAGGCAGAGTCACTCATGAGATCAGATTCTTCATAGGACCAAATGACCCTTTACTCACCATCTTTTCATCCCACTTCAGGCACAAAGTTTCCTGCTACAATGTAATTTCAAGATCTCAACTCATTTTTCACAGTCATAGAATGTACAGTTTTCCAAAATCCGCAACATAGAAGTCAGCAGGATGTTTCAATAATGGAGAGGAAAGCAAGATTTCTTTCATGTTTTTTGTGTGAAAAGTCTTTTATGAAACTAATTTAATCAATATAATCTTGGGTGCTGTTTCATAAATGGCAGCTTTCTTACATCATGGAGCCTTACTGTTTTTAGCTGAGCATTAATAGGAACATATAGTGGCAGACGGTATAGCCATTAACATTTATTATGGTTCTGACATAATTTTTTTTGGCATCCAGACTTGAATGCACTTTAGACATGGAGGGAGTAAAGCATAGCATGTCTCTTTGATTGATACAAATAAGTTAATGCAGACTATTGGTTCAATGCTTGGACTGGGTCATTGGCATTCTTTTTATTTATTTATTTTTATTCTGAACTTTTGAGAGAGTAGGAGTAGATATGAAAATGAGCAAAGAGAATGTAAAACTAAAAACAAGTTACTAAAATGTTTCTACTGTTGTTGGCCTTGAAAGTAAAGATCCTTTGAAACAAGTTACTAAAATGTTTCTACTGTTGGCCTTAAAACGAAAGATCCTTTGTTCTAATTAAATTAAACCAATGGTATAGAAGCGAGGTGGTTTTGTTTACAGAGAATGAAATGTAGGCTAAGAATTACAACCAACCACATATGTTTGAGGAGGGTAACAAAAAAGATTAGTAGTCTGACAAGTGAATTTCATTATCATTTGTGGATCTCGACAAACTTGTTTTTATGTGTGGGTCATTTTCAGAATGAAATAATATAGACTGATACAGAGCGATACATGTATAAAAGCAACCTATCTCCCTCTTACATTTAATGCAATTTCTTTGTTTTTACTTTTAGGTCGACCCCCTCTTTACAGTGCCTGCACCACCACCTCCTATTTCCAGTAGTCTCACACCTCAGATTCTGCCCTCCTACTTTTCCCCATCTTCATCCAACATTGCAGCCCCAGTTGAACAACTTTTGGTACGGACTCGTTCAGTAGGTGTAAATACTTGTGATGTTGGAATAGTAACAGAACCTGAATGCCTTGGACCTTGTGAACCTGGGACCAGTGTGAATTTGGAAGGGATTGTATGGCATGAAACTGAAGAAGGTAAGTTGGTTTCATTTCCATTTTGTTTGAAAGTTTCCTTTTGCTTGTCTTCCACATTAAGGGACACACACTTGGTGTTATAACCGGATCTTGGACGCTGTTGAAGTCAGGCGTCTTCTGGCAATACATCAGTTTATATGTTTCAGATTACAAATATGGACTTAATTATGTATTTCTATAAGGATGAATTGTGTCCAGATATTTAACATCTGTGTTTAAAAATAAAATTGTTCATAGAGTAGCAGAATTAGAGAAAGAATGGTTGTAATGGTGCTTGGGAACTTCGCTGGTTTGAATTATTGGCCAGTCTTTTCCTGGGAGGAGAAGGAAGCTGCCCTTTAGGATGCACTTTGGCTCAGTGGTAGAGCATGTGGTTTGCATGCAGGAAGTCCCAAAATTGATCCCTGGCATCACCAGAACAGGAGCTCAGGTAGCATGTGCCTGGGGAGGGGGACAGCTTTCCTTGCTTGAGACCCTGGAAAGCCACTGCCTGATAGGTGTACAATACTGAGCTAGATGGACTAGTAACTCTGACTTCTTATAAGGCTATTTTGTTTGTGCTCATATGACCCATGAAGAGGTTTTAAACTGAGGGAATTCTAGCACTGTATTCAAATCTTACACTGTTGGGTTTTTGTGTGTTTTATTCCAGGGATATACATGGGCAACACCTGTTTTGTGGTGTGAATGCTGTGACCTTTGGTTTATCTTCTTGTTATAAAGATAAAATTTCTTATATAAGTAAGTTTTCAGGTGATTTCAAGGCTAAACATTTTGTTCTAATTGTCCTGAGAATTGTGTGATATGGAGATGTTCTGTATGTGACACATTCCATTAAAATAAGGAGCAACTGGCAGAACATTGATAATTTCCTGAAAAACTTTAAAGAATAAATTTAGGAAAGGAAAGGAGTTTGAAGGATACTGGCTGTTGTTAAAGTAAAGAGAGATTTTATGTCTGGACTGCCTGATATAAAAGACATAATTGTAGTATGTGTCAGCTTCACTGCTGCTTGTGATGAAGGATCTGAATTCAAATAAGAACTGTCGGAACATTATAGATACTTTCTCCTGTTAACTTTAAAGGAAACAGTGGTGATTTGATTACTTCTGTATCAAGAAAGTTCATTTCAAAAGGATACCAAAATACAGTAGCTGATGGGCATTCTACTGTATTTCATCCATTTGCGCAGTAGCAGTTCATAAGGAGAGATCTGCAAGAAATGTATGAGGGGGAATCCTTCTACAAGCCTCCTCCGATTTCTCCCCCAATCCTCTTGCCACCTCTTTCCTTCCCCGCCCTCCCACCACTGCTGCTTCCTCCCTTATATGCTCTTTGTTTTTCCTTCCATATGTGCCTTCATCAGATTCATAAGATGGATTGATCCTTTTAGATTGTTTTTAAAGCATATATGATTTCTGTTTAAAAATATCCTGCCTAATAGGACTGACTACCTATTTAGCGTTAATGTTTGTTTCACTGACTTGCATTAACTAGAGCTGGAATGTGCGAGTGTGGATTGTAGTGACATGAAAAAGCAGTAGCTTTTAATAGTATTATTCTTCCTGAGTAAACTAAACTTCTGACCCCCCACAGAATTAAGAAGTGTTCCTTGTTAAAGGTCTGGAGGGCACCGGTGTGGTATTTTATAATGTGCGTCTGCACTGGAAAGCATGTCATTCCATCTGTCTTCTTCCATGTCCAGTTCAGAGGATTTTTATTTACTCCCTGTACTCCCTGTTTCCTCTGTTGGGAAAAAGCACATTCTAAGTGTGAGAACAGACACGCACTTGCTCACATACACTGCTCATCACTTGTTCAGTTAGTGCACGTGCCAATCTGGAGCACTTGTATGGCACAGGCAAGGTTTAATACTCAGTCTTCATAGCCATCGAGAACAGGAATAGTAAAGTTTTCTAGTTATTTATGTCTGCCATGTCATAAAGCTTGTTGAATAATATTGATAACGTGGCCTAATACTGATAAACCATTGAATAGGAATTATTGGCACCAAAGAAAGAAATGAAAGATGTATGATTTAGTTCCTGTTTAATAGAGGAAATTTACCAGATGTAACTGTTTACCCCTTTATATGGAAAACTGCCTCTATCCAAAAGTTATTATTTAGAAGTAAATTCTGTTTTCATGGGAACTTTCTTCCACTGTTGTGTTTGTGGAATTGGGTTGTAAGATTGTGGTGTATATGTTAACATTTGGTATGTATTTGTGGCTGACAGTCTACTTGCAAAGCATGATTTTCATGGAACAGATGATATATCTGCACCAGGCTGACATATGTAAAGAGTTCTCAAATTTTCCTACCTTTACCCAACAAATATTAATTCTCAAATGACAAGTTAACATTAAATAATAGGTTGTATTCTAGTATATAGTATATATAACTGGTAATGATATTTCCAAGCATTGAGGTTTCCAACAAAATATACAATAAAAATGAAGATAAAACATCTTAAAATAACAGTCTCATAGCCAAAAATCAGTAAAAGCCTTGCACTATGACAGTCGTATGCCAACCTAGCAGTTCGAAAGCAAGAAATTGCAAGTAGATAAATAGGTACCACTTCGGTGGGAAGGTAATAATAATAATAATAATACTTTCCATTTATTAATCGCTTTCCCCAGTGGGCTTAAAGCGATGTACAGTTACACAGTATAGACAGGGGACTAACAATGTTTGTAGGGGATAGGGAAGACAACATATATTCATTTTTTAATTGCATGCGCCGTCACTGCCCGGTATAGACATCTTTCTGGCTTGGCTCCGTCGTTTTCCTCAGGGCTGCTTGTTGGCCAGCGTTCCGTGCGCCTCGGCGTCTAGTCATGCTGGCCACATGACCACGGAAACGTCTTCAGACAGCACTGGCTCTTCGGCTTCAAAACGGAGATGAGCACCGCAACCCTAGAGTCGGACTCGACTGGCTTTCGAGCAAGGGAACCTTTACCTTTATGACAGTAGTACCACAAGATGAGAAATTTTCATTGATTGTCCACTGAAAAGTTATAGGCCTTTCTGAAGAGGTGGGTTGTCTTCCAAAGGCCTTAAGAAAAGTGTTGTTTCAGGCATCATCCAAGAGGCTTGCAGAACCTCATAGATATTGTGGTAAAAGCTTTGCTTCTGGTTCCCCAGAGTTGTCACTAGATACACGGAAAGTTTACTTCAGAGTTCAAAGTACCATCCAGCAGGATTTATACACAAACACTAGATCTTTCTTTGAGAGAGAAGGCAGCTTGAAATGGATGGTTCCCATCTGTCCATCAAGGAGGCAGAACGAAAGTTCTTCCAGACTTTCTACCTCCTAGTCGGAGTCACCCACTTTTATCAGTTCCTTCCCTGCCTCATTAAAGAAGGCAAGCTTTTGTAGGAGTTGCTCAGCAAGGCCCCTACAACTCAGCAGAAGGACCCTAATGCTTTTGTTTTTACACTTCTGTATGTACTTCTTACATTTCTTTATTCCTCCTTTTGGCGTACTTCTGACCCTTTCTTCTGAGGATGGCGTGGCTGAGGCAATGGAGGACATTGAGAACTTCGACAAAGTCTCTGACAGATTCATTTCCAAGGAGGATGAGAGGAAGGGACTAGTCCCTGGTGTGGTCGAGCAGGCACAGACCTGTGGAAGAGTAGCCAATGGCAGACAGGCAGAGGCAGTGAGAGGAGCATGCTGTACAATTAGACTGTGCCTCAGAGGATGCTCATGGAGATAGCAAGCTGGCTTCACCATGCAATGTTGAAGGAAGTTCAGTCCCCACACGAGCCACCCCACCTTCTCCATGAGGGAGCCAGGAAACATATTGTTCAAGGTCCTCCTCCAGATCACATTCTGCCCCCCTTTCTGTGGATTGTTTAGGTGGGGAAGCAGGAAGGATTCTTCATGTAGGGGGAAGGTTGCAGGGCACTAGCCTTGGCTGACTAAAGCAGCACAAACAATGGTGGTGCACAGACCCCACCCTTCTCTCAGAGAAGAAGGAGAAGCAGAAGAAGAGATTGGAATTTTACCCCACTCTTCACTACCTGAAGGAGTCTCAGAGTGATTTACAATCCCCTTTCCTTTCCCCTCCCCAAAACAGACACCCTGTAAGGTAGATGGGGCTGAGAGAGCTCTTTCAACAACTGCTTGTGAGAGAATAGCCGTGAAATAACTTGTAACTGACCCAAGGTCACACCAGCAGCTGCATGTGGAGGAGTGGGAAATCAAACCCGGTTCTTCCACATTAGAGTCTGCGCTCTTAATCGCCAAACTGGCTCTTAACTGCTACACCAAACAGAGATCCAGTCCCCTTCTATGGGGACTCAGGGGAGTCAGTTCTTCTAGTAAGGAACGGAAATGTCTAAGGATAATATAATAGTCCTGTAGCCACACAAACATCCTTTTAACCAAGAGGACTACCAGGGACTGTGTGAGCGAGCCTACATTTGACTATCATGTAAATTAGTTTTATATTAGATTATTACCATAACCCTGTAAAAAAATCTCAGAATGAAATCTTTTAAACTATACTTTAAGAATGATTTAAACATTATAGGTGAAAACAGAATCAAGTCAGATTTCATTACAGAAAATGTTTCTGGTAGAGGCCCTAAAAGGAGAGACCAGTAAACATTCAGCTGAGGAGTTCTTCAGCACTTCGACTGCCCTTATTCTGTTACATGTGATTATGCCTGTTCTTCTCCCTCTCTAGAAGTACATCTGCCAAAAGCAAAGCAATACAGCCTTATGAGGCCCCCTGACAAGAGACAGTACTGACCTGAGATTCCAATTTAAGCAATGCTTTTTTCAGTGACCTGCTGTTGCCAAGCGATTGTAATACTGGGAGATCTCCAGGCCTCACCTGGAGGCTGACAAGCCTAGCAGGGGCAGAGCATCTGCTTTGTAAGCAAAGGGTTTCTTATCTCACTACATATGCTAATCTCATTCAGTCCTTACATCTATACTTTCACCACAAAGGGCCATATATCCTTTTTATTGTATTGTATTTATTAT